CCAGTGGCGCTAATCGCTATAACAGCTGTATCCTAGACACCGGATTGCCGGTTTGAGTCCCAGCTGGGGCAACATATTTTCCCATCCTTTATCCTTTTTTTCCTGCATTTAGTATGTATTATTTTTAATTTTTTAAACTTTTTACTTTTAATTTTAATTTTTAAATGTCTTTTTATCTTTGAATTTCTTATTATTTTGTATTGTTGCTGTTGGGATGGGGATGGCATGAGAGTGGCATGCGATAGGCATGGGATGCCGAACTGGGATCGCGGTGCGATGGGATTGGATAGGATGTGATGGCATGGTTATGGATGGCATGCGATGGCATGGCATGGCAATGGCATCGCATTGGCAATGGCCATGGCGGCATATCATGCATGATTTATATGCTCTGATGAACATGTCGAAACGTGTCAATCAATGCTCTCAAACCATAATGCCCCAGTAAGCCAATGGATAAAGGAAATCGGACTCCTAAACCATTGATTATGGCGTTCGAATCCCACCTGCTGGAAATGCTTTTGTTTCTTTAGTTTTGCGACTGTTTAATATGTACTTCTGCCACTTACCGCTTAATATCAAAATTTACAAATTTTTTACTACATTTAAAACATTTAGTAAAAATCCAGACCTAAACTGCGATGATAATAATGCGCAAACTGACGGGAAGCACTTCACGGAAGCCTATGTAGTTACAGATCAAATATTATTTTATATTTTTTATATTATTTTATTTTATTATTTTTTAGCTATTTTTACTTTTTTATTTTAAATGTCTTTTATGCTTTTGATATTTTTTATTATTTTTTACTGTTTGGGATGAATGGGCATGGCATTGCGATGGCATGCCGATAGGATGGCATGGCATGGCATGGCAATGGCATGCATGGCATGGTGGGGCCATGGCCATGGATGGCCATGGGATGGACTGGGGTGCGATGGAATGGGATGGGATGCATAGGCATGGAGATGGAATGGGATGCGATGAGATTGGGATGGGATGGGATGCGTGGGCGATCGGATGGGAATGCGGATGGGATGCGGATGGGATGGAATGGATGGATGCATTGATGCATGGATGGATGCATGGATAGATAGATAGTTAGATTTGTTTGGGTATTCTCCTTTCAACAGCGCGGTCACCAACTGAGTACACGCCACTGATTTGTCCCGGCAACGCCCGGTATCCCGCTAGTAATATATATTAATATATATATAAAATATATATATATATCGTTGTATCTTTGTATCTTGTATATATATATATATTATATATATATAATATATAATGATGGTGTGTGTGTGTTGTGTGTGTGTGTGTGTGTGGTGTGTGTGTGTTGTGTGGTGTTGGCGGTGCGTGTGCGTGTGCGGCGGTGTGCCGTGCGGCTGTGCGTGTGCGTGTGCGTATAACAGCATATGAGCGATTACCGGCGCATCAGCATAGCGTAATAGGCGTATATGCGCGGGGGTGGTGGGGTTAACAGCTGTATACATCAAGAGCGTATTAAGAAGGTCCTTCTATTTATACCGCTCTGATATGCCCAGTACATATGCCACAGTAACAGGCGGCGCGCGATAGACTGCCCTAGACTGACTAGACTCTTTTAATTTACTCTACTTCAACTTGATTAGCACGGCGGTGTCAATGACGCCTAACCTCCGACAGGTAGGGTCTGTTTCGCGGTGCTTTACGGCAGCTGGATATGGCGTTATGAAAGCTGCGTCGCAGTCCTAGGATGGCGCGCTTACGGCCGATCGCCTGCGCTTACGTAAAGATTTTTCGCGATGTGCCACTGATCCTCGATCTATAATAATTATAGAGATCTAGTAGATGTGGCGCGTTTGGTCCGTATGCTTATCGCTGCGCGTATGGGCCGCATAGATATTTAATAAACGAAAATTGGAAACTCCTTGTTTGAAATCAGAAATTGAGTGTGAAATTGGAAATTCGAGTTTAAAAATTTGGTTTGAAATTGGAATCGAGTTTGAAAGTGGAAATCGATTTGAAATTGAAAAAAAAAAAAAAAAACAAAAAATTAAGTTTTGAAATTGGAAATGGCGAGTTTGAAATTAGAAATCAAGTTTGAATTGGAAATCGAATTTGAAATTTGGAAATCAGAGGTTTGGAATTAGGTTTAAAATTGGATTCTTTTGAATACAAATTTTTTTTATAAGTATAACGCCGTATAGACCGTGATTGAATATACCGTGGTAGCGCTCGCTGGCATTGGTCCATGAGAACAGATATAATAATACATTGTCTCAGCAATATATACAATGTATACAGTCATCAGGAGATACATGTCAATGTACTGATGGCCACAAGATTTGCTGGGCTGTGCGATGTGGGCCACTGATTCTCGATTCTATAATAATATTATAGAGCTATCAGCTAGATGTGGCGGCGTTTGGGTCCGATGTATCGTGGCGCGTATGGGCCGCATAATATTTAACAAACGGAAAATTGGAAGATCGATTTGAAATCAGAAGATTGAGTGTAAATTGGAAATCGAGTTTAAAATTTGGTTTGAAATTGCGAAATCGAGTTTGAAAGTGGAAATCGAGTTTGAATTAGAAAAGTTAAGTTTTGAAATTTCGAAATCAGAGTTTGAAATTAGAAATTTCAAAGTTTGAAATTGGAAATTCGAATTTGAAATTGCGAATATCGCAGGTTTGGAACATTAGCGTTTTAAATTGATATTGGAATCAAATTTTTTTTAAGTATCAACCGCGTATAACTGGTAGTGAATATAACCGTGGTAGCGCCTCCTGCATTGGTCCTGAGAACAATATAATAATACATTGTTCTCAGCAATATATACAATGTATACATGTCATCAGGAGTACATGTCATGTATACATTGTTCTCAGCAGTGTTCTCAGCATTGCTACCTAGTATTCCCTTAGGTATTATCAGGAGTGTATCAATATTGATACACTCCTGGTATTATTACCTCGATCTTATAACACTCTCCTAGTTATTATTTAAAGCTCTTGATCACACATATGATATCATATGATATACTAGATACAATAATGTAACCCAAACCCTATCCTCTTGGGTTTGGGTTACATTATTGTATCTAATGATATACGTGCTCAATCTCCTCTCGTATCAATCTGAGGTTTGTTGTGCAAGCGTGTGCGTATATTTTGCCGGCTATGGTTAGACGATTCCTATGGACGATTGGAGTCCCCTAACGCCAGATGGCAGCAATGCATATCCGGTAACAGATTTAACGTTTATGGCTTTATGCGTGTCGTGTTAGCATTGTCGTCTATGCATAGATTATTAGATACAAACACACCAACACTACAGTGCTTTTTCTGTGTTTGTATATATCTATGGTCTATGATATGTCAAGATTGGCAAGATAGCCAAGACCCCGAAGAAGAGCCCTGTCGATTTTAAAGTCTACATTTGAATGACGGCTGGGGACCCAAACAACTACTACTACTACTACTACTAGGATTCTGCCACAATTGGCCCCTTAGTCCTTACCCTGTCACCTGTGTTCTTTGATTTTTTTTCCGATTTCCAGTACATTCTGGGTGTTTCTCTATGCTGAAGAGTTTTCGACGACGAACATGAATGATGAAAACAGAACAGTGTGGATTGGAAATATATCGCGAGAGGTTGATGAAGAATTGTTGTTCGAACTGTTCCTGCAGGTACCTCGCTTCTTTACTTCGAGTACCAGTTCGCCTTGACCGAATAATTCTGTCCCATATAACCTTTTTATATTTTGGTGAGGGTTATATTGGGACAGAACGGGGTTCATTGAAATTTCGTGAGATCGCATGCAAAATGCATGCGCTGCGAATGTGGCTCGTACGCCGCTATTGGCGCAAAAAAAAACCTACCGTTCCCTTCTACATGACGTTCCCTTGCTACTGGTATGTGTATACATTCACTTCAATCGTTATTCACTTCTTAAAAGATCGTTTTTCAGAAACCCCGCTTCATTTAACTTTAGTAAATTGTGTTCGCCATTTACAAACAATCAGACCAATCAGAGCAAGGCTTACAATAGCCCCTGGTTCTCGCTTGTATCTGTGGCGCTGCAGGAGGTCTGATAGACTCACTCTGATTGGTCTGATTGTTTTTAAATGGCGAAAATAATTTAGTAAATTAAATGAAGCGGGATTTCTGAAAAACAATCTTTTAAGAAGTGAATAACGATTGAAGTGAATGTATACACATATCAGTAGCAAGGTAAAGCCATGTAGAAGGGAACGGTAGGTTTTTTTCCGCGCCAATAGCGGCGTACGGGCCGCATTCGCAGCGCATGCATTTTGCATGCGATCTCACGAAATTTCAAGGAACCCCGTTGTCCCAATAACCATCTCCAAAATATAAAAAAGGTTATATGGGACAGAATTATTTGGTCTACAGTTCGCCTATTCCATAATAGAAGTTCATAGGCATAGAGTCCATAATAGAAAATTCTATTTTCATAAATTAATAATTCAGATTTAAATTCAGAATCAAATTGCAATTCAGAATTTATTTTCATTAATTTAAAAAATAATAAATTCCTATTATGAACTCTTGATATAGATATTTGGAGCCCGTTGTCAGAAACAAAATTAGTCTTGACATTAGTCTTAACAATAACATTTTCTCGTAGACCGTCGACAGCGCTTTGTTTCGTATTGTTATCAGGAAATCTGCTACGATTTTTCATTCAGGTAACTTCGCAGCATTTCTGTCGACGGTCTAAGAGAAAAAGTTAATGTTAAGACTAATGTTAAAACGATCATTGCGAGAATTTTGCTCAGAAAAACGAAATATAGCTGAATATAGTCTCACCTGACAGCGAAAATATCACTGATTACACCAACATTCAAAACACCAATATTTTATGCAGTTATAGCATAGAAAAATTGATTTGACCACATCATACCAGCAATACATTTTTTCGAGTCAAGACTTTCAAAAATCACAAATGGCGTCTCAAACAAGCGCACATAATTAAAACAAAGGGGCATCTATTTGTGTGTGATAAGTATTCTCGCTGGCGGTACGCAACGAGGATTTGATCCACTTCTCTCTCCGTCTTCGTTATAGTCCCTAGGACTTTTGAAGACTAATATTTATGAGGTTACAACTTACACTCTTGTTTGTGTTATGCTACTATATGCACCTCTGTGTTTACATCTGACCAAAAATATCTCCGGTGCGATTTTTGCATTACTGTACCCTTGTTGACGTCTCGCGGTACCGCGAGAAAGTGCGAGATATGACCGCGAAAATCAACAAGAGAACGCAAAATTGTAATCGTGCATGATTTTTTCTTTGCATGCGGTTCTAAGACATTTTATTGTTATTTCAAACAATTACTGTTACTCAAGCAACAACGGTAGGCATCATGAGAGTGAGAATAAACACTAAAAAATGCTGAAAAAAACTCGCAATGATCGCTTTAAGACTAATTTTGTTTCTGACAACAGGCCCCTGTATTCTAATATATATCTATGACATCACGCACGCCGCTGTGCATAAACAACAAGAATATAGAGAACTCTATTGAATAGGCGAAAGAGAATAAAAGAACATTAAGACATTGGTAGGAAATACATTTCGTGTTTATATTTAACATGTGTTTTTCTCTTCAGGCAGGGCCTCTAGAAAGTGTCAAGATAGCAAAAGATGGGAGTGGATTACAACGCACTTTCGGATTTGCCATCTTCAAGCATGAGCAGTCTGTTCCATATACCGTCGACTTGCTCAATAATGTGACGCTGTGTGGACGATCACTTATCGTAAAGGCAAGACAATTACAACAGTCACCAGCAGATTCATCCTACGAAACACTTTCTCGCCAAAACAGACTCCCGCAGGCCGTGTCTTTGGGGCAAAATTACCTTTTAGGACAGAGCATCCCTGGAGCTGGCATGCCATATAGACAGATGCAGCCAAATTGTTCCCAGTTTCAAGGGATGTCAAGGAATTTTGTCATGAGCCCTCAAGCGGCAATAGCATATTATTATCAAATGGCATACCAGCAGAGACCTAATGTCACACCATCTGGCTACTGGGGTTAAGTACTTTCTGGGATTTATCGTACCACAGCCACACTTTTTGCTATCTTTCAATGAATGAGAGCATTGCATGTTAATGCAAGCTATATTTTGCATTAATATATTGTGACCAGATGCAACTGCAGTAATGGCAGCTTGTGGGCACAATTGTTAACCCCACAGCAATATGTTTAATCATAGTGGAAAAATACATCATTCATTTAATAATATTGGAAAGTTGTGAGTTGGATGCACTCTCATCCAAAATGCAGTCGTGCCATGTTTTACAGAAAAGTGATTGCGAGTTTTAGACCATAGATTTCAGTCCAGCACGTTGTGATATGCAATATAAATAGTTACACCAAATGTAAATGAGGACATTTCCTGACTTCCCATTAATCAATGAAATTGCCAATTCAGCCAATTCGGCCATTTTTGCCATTCACATGATGAAGTGTGCTTTTCCTGTATATTTGTGTACATGTTTGTACATCAGACGTCACTTGTATAGTAAACCTGTTGATGAATTATTGACACTGAAAGCTTTCGCTTTATTTTACTTGCTAACAAAATGTGCAAAATTTCACACTGCAGGGTGCGAAATTAATGCGACCAGAGTCAAATACTTCACGATTTACTGTCGGACTCCCTGATTTGACATATGCAAGTCCGTGTGACTCCCTGAAAATTCTGCTATACTAACTAGTTTGTTCCAGAGCACGGCATTCCAGCAAATGTGCAAAGAAAATTTGGCAGACGTGCAACCACATGAAACTTATTGTTAATATCTTTAATTTTGAACTTTAGACTGCGGACTCCCTCTTTTTGAGGGTAGGGAGTCCATTGGACTCCCTTGTTCAAAAGTCAATTTCTACCCCTGCACTGTATATATACTGTTCAATGTGTGTTCTATTAG